AAAATAGTATTAAAAAGCATGAAGTAAATCTAGAAAATATACGAGAATCAATACGAAGTCTATGACTTGAATTTAGATTCAAAACCTGGACTTGTATCCGGTTTGTATTAGAAGATAGACTAGTCCTAATCCTAATAAAACTCCACATGTAAACCACCCCTTTAACATATATAAAGAGAGACAGGGCTCCCCAAAGGGGGAGATGAGAAGAAAATAATCCCTAGGGCTAGACACAACTAAGAGGAGAGCCGGTTTATGCGGCGACTCCCTCATGAGTGTAATGAACCTAGCCACAAACAACATGTAGGGCTATTCCGGATGATGTTTCTCGGGGCCTGAAGCTGTCTAAATCCTTGTCTTGTGTTGCGTCTCTCGATTTCGCTCAACCCCTCTCAAGCTACCACATAGATGCGTTGGCCTAACGACTAAATCCTCACACTAGAACATCTGCCGTGGCAGTCCCACGACATCAATACAAAGTCTATGACTTGAATTCAGATTCCATGACAAGAAACTGAGCCATTTAAGCTATGCTTAATCCGTTGCGGAAAGTGGAATTCACTTTTTTCTCAACTACTCCCTCCATTCCTAAATAAGTCTTTTTTAAAGATTCTAATAAGAGACTACATACGGAGCAAAATGAGTTAATCTACACTCTAAAATATATCTGTATATATTCATATGTAGTTTGTATTGAAATATCTACATAGACTTATATTTAGAAATGGAGTACTCTCTCTATAAAAAAATATAAGAGCGTCTAGATCTAAACGAGACTTGCTCCTCCTCTTCTCTTTGTGTTAGTTCACTGGAGACCACTCCTCAATCTTGAACCATGCCATGATTAGGAAAATGATTAATCTTATGTTCTGTTCCTGTGAGGGTGTCGTCCCATTCCCTGGTAAAGACGTAAAGTGATGCAAGCATCAAGCAAATCACGTCTGGTGAACCTTTGGGCCTCCTTTGGTCCATAGGATTGAAAAATCATAGGAATAGGAAAGTCATAGGAAATGAGATGACATGCATCTCAAATCCTATGCATAGGAATAGAAAATGAGATGCCTTTTAATTCACACCATAGGATTTTTTCCATTGAGTCTAGGTTAATGTTTATTTTCCTATGAAATGTGGAGGATAGGAAGAATTCCTTCATAGGAATAGGATTTCATTCCTACAAACCAAAGAGCTTTAAAGGAATTTTCCCTATAGAAATCCTATCCTATGAAAATCCTACAAAATTCCTCCAAACCAAAGGAGGCCTTGGATAATCTGAAGGGCCGGAGGAATCCGCATATCTAACCAGCAGCGCGGTGTGCATCTGGGTTATTCCATCTTCGAGAATGGTTAAGACCTAACTTGCCTTGGACGGAGGGTGAAACGAACTTACACTGTCAACAAACTTACACTAGTAAAAAAAGGGGCTTTGGTCCAGCCATAAAAGAGCATTAATCCCGGTTGCATTACGAACCGGGACTAATGTGAGCATTAGTCCCGGTTCAAGCGGCGAGGGCACCATACAAACATTACTCCCAGTTCAAATGGGACCTTTAGTCTCGGTTCGTGGCACGAACCGGTACTAAAGGGTGCGATGCCCATTAGTACCGGTTCGTGGCACGAACCGGTACTACTGGTGCAATTTTCAAATCCTACCCCCCCAGGCCCCGGTGCATCGCCTTTTCAGTTTTGTAAAAAGCAAAAGAAAATGATAGAAACTTCAAAATTTAAAATCCTTCGAGATGTAGTTATGTTACTACATCTACTAGTTAGGAAAATTTTAAAACTTAAATTTGGACATGTTTTGCAAAAAGTGTAGGGAAAATGTAAAACGGCTATAACTTTTGCATACGATGTCGGAAAAAAAACATATAATATGTCAAAATGTTCGGAACGAAAATCCGCATCCGATGGAGACCACCTACGGCCTGTTTGCAAATTTTTAGAATCCTCAAATTCTAAAAGGAAAAAAAGTTATGCTTAAATTTTAGTTTTTTTTTTGAATTTTTGTTAAATCTGGTCAAACTATGGTCGAACTACTTATTCAAGAAGTATTAGTGTTACTAAATAATTATTCAAGAATATTAGTGTTACTAAATAATTATTTCAGTTTTTTTGAATTTTGGTCAACTATGGTCAAACTACTTATTCAAGAAATATTAGTGTTACTAAATAATTATTGATTTTTAGAACAATAGTTTCAAACTCAAATAGTGAAATGTGTGACTTCATACTCAAGCTAAATTCCTAAGGGTTAATAGGATTGACATCTTACTATTGTCAGGAAAACAACAAGTGCAGATTTGGAAACGAGGGAGAATAGAACCCGGAAGTTAAGCGTGCTCAGGCTGGAGTAGTGAGAGGATGGGTGACCGTTCGGAAAGTTAGATGATTTGGGATGATGAGGGGTAATTAGAGATTAAAGGTTAAATTGAGTAGTGATGAGGGGTGATTAGAGATTAGAGATTAAAAAAATTCAAAAAAAATCATAAGATTTCCTAGTGTTAGCTAATAACGCATCAGTCAAAAAAAAGTTAACTAATAATTCACCCCGCTTTACTTTTGCCTGGGCCATACCACCACTAATTAGCGCCATCACCAACTAATCTAATAATCTAGTGCGCTCGTCGGCCACATCATCGCGCGAGTGGATTTGCATGGGTCATGTCAAAAGCTGGACACAAGGTGACGACGGCGTCCTCGATCGGTTATTTCATGTCAAAAGATCGTTGTGTGCAAGGAATGGATGGATGGTTTCTGACTTGACCATGCACGCACCTTTCGGACATGGCGACCTGATCGTCAATTCGTCGACGACGCCAGGTCGCGCAGTAGGGGCGGTCGATTCGTGCTCGCTCGCGCAACCACCTTTTCTCCCCCTTTCCCGTTTTTCTCGTCTCTTTTGCATCCGCCGTAGCCTGAAGATATGCATACATGCACCACACGACACGCATCATCGTAGTACTAATATGTATGGTTTGGTCGAGGTCGATTTCTCATGAGAATCCAGCTAGCAACCAGCCGTCGATATAGGTAGCAGCCGGTGACTAGCTAGCACTAGCCGACGGAGGTCCAAACCAATGCGTTTTATTGCTACGCGGCCGGCACCACGCAACACGGGATCGTGAATCGACGCAACTCATCCTTGTAGTTCCAGCTGTGGATCTAGGTAGCGGCTTGTTTGCTTGCTTCGAGACGCGCACACGTCACGCGTCCCACGCAACGCCTGCGCACGGCAGCTGTTCTTCCTTCCCGCAGTAGTACGTAGTAGTACGTGCCTGGATGAATGGATGCGCGCGGCGACTCGATCTCGGGTCGGGTGGCGGAGGCGTAAAGCCAAATCGGCCGGCCGGTGAGCTACCTCTCGCCAGCTGCCCAGCTCCACCGATCGGTCCGTGCATGCATGCATGACGACGGCGACGCGTACCGATCGATATCCTTTGATGCCCTGCCCTGTCGGTTAGTGACTTGGTGTTCGAAGAGTTTGAGTTTAGCTCGTCCATCAGCATGCAGCCTAGGACGATGTATCTTGTGGCAATGGCATGGAGCGTATGAAGTGCGAGACACGGCTCGTGCACGTACCAGACGTGTTCTACGCATGCACGGCACCGCGGGGCGTGCATGTGTTGTTTATGTGACCGGCCGGACGCGGCGAACAGGAAACGAATCAGCACGTGCGTACAGCGTATGCGCATCATGTGGCCATTTGATTGATTTTACTGATGATGTGATCAGGCCGCTCTATGTCAACTTTGGTTGAAGGATTGATCGTGATGGCCTGTTGAACATATCCTACTACTTACTATTCCCCGGTTTGGAGTATTTAGAACTAAAATATGTTTAAATACATTTTTTTATCGACAAGTAATCTTGAACGAAGGAAGTACTATTACCCTTGCGATGAATTATTGAGACTAGTCATAGTGGGGAGTAACTTAGACTAGTGCCATATGACGCTAGTCTTTGTTACTACCTTCATAGTGCAAAGTAATATACAAGTAGTATTATGGATGATAGCATTTATTATATTATAGATTCATTTTGCTTTGAGTCGCGTTATGTTATAATAACATATTATGTTACTCCAAACACCTCTCTCATTAATTATATGCCACATAAATAAATTTGTTTTGATATCCGCTATGTTACTTGCTAAGTTTACTCTCACTATGACCAGCCTGAGAGAGACGCGCATTGGAATTACCCGGAGAGTATTCATTACCAACGGTCAAGACAGCTCCTAGTACTAGTAGTACCAGTTGTACCGCACTGCATCTGCATGGTCCTCTTCTCCCACCAACACCGAAACCCAGCAGGCAGATGTCTCGCCGCCACGTCGATCGTTCATTCCGAGCCATCCCAAGCGCAAGCGGCGCATACACGAACCATCCCAAGCACATGGCTAGCTTCACTGAATCTCCTCCACCCGAAGTTCTGCATTGAACTCTGCCGGTACCAGTACAGTCATACTCCTCGGCGTTCTCGAGCTTCCCGTTCCATCCACAGATTTTCGCAGAAAGTTTCAGAACCTTACTCCAAAATCAAATAGCAGAAATAGTAGATAAATAGCAGAAATTAATTGCAGTACAGTGAATTCAGTTTTTATGCAAAATCAAAAACCAGGTCCCACCATCCAAGCGGCCAAAACCCAGACGTTACTGTGCATGCAGCCGCAGCAACAGAAAAGCGGCCAAACCCAACCCAACCAAACCCAGCAGCAGCAGCAGTAGCACCTGGGGGAGGCAGAGCAGAGCGGAGCTGGCAAGCAAACCAAAGCCTCCCATCGCGCCGCGCAGAGCGGTTTCTTTTCCCCGCTCTCTCCCCCGCGCCACCTATAAATACCGCCTCCCTTCCCCCTCCTCTCCCACAGTCAGTCGTCACAGCCACACAGAACAACCGAGAAACCACTCTGCACGCACGCCCACAGAGAGAGAGGAAGAGGAAGAAACAGAGAAAGAGATCGATAGAGGGAGAGGGATCGACATCGGCTTGATCCACCGTCCATCATGAGGCCGATCAGAGAAGGTGAAGCCCTGGTCGGATTCGCCGGGGCGCCGGCGGCGGGCGGCCACGGCCACGGCGCGCACCCGGGGCTGTGGAGGACGCCCACGCCCTACCTCTTCCTCGGCTTCGCGCTCATGATGGGGCTCATCGCCGTGGCGCTGCTCGTGCTCGTCTGCACGCGCCGCAAGCCGTCCGGCTCGTCGCGGCGGGGGAGCGCCGCCGAGGAGGCGTCGGCGCGCGGGATGGCGCCGCTCGACAGGGAGCCCAAGGTCGTCGTCATCATGGCCGGCGACGACTTGCCGTCCTTCCTCGCCAGCGCCAGGCCGTTCGCGTTCCCTGCTGCCATCAACGCCGCCGACGTCGGCGAGCAGCGGCAGGCGGACGCTGCGTAGGCTCGACGCCCGCCCGTGTAACCGCGGGACCAATTTTGGCCTCTAGGATTCCCCCTGCGCGATCTGTATGTAGAATCTACGCCTACTCAATCCGTAGTAGCAGAGAAGATAGAGCTCTGTAGTAGTTTGCGTTTCTTGGTGAGGTGAGGTGAGCGGCGCGCATGGCGTGAGCGCGCCGGCGGCGTGCGTTGAGTTGAGATCTGGCGAAAGCGAATGGAATTTTGGCTTGCATCTTCATTCAATAAATGCATGATGCTTGCTTTTTTTCTTTTGAGTTAATGCATGATGCTTGCTTGGCTGCTCCCCAATTCGATTTCCACTTGAAATTTCGGCGCCTTCCGTTGGGTGAGCGGTATAAAATACTCGCCCGTCCTCGTCATTCTGGGAGACCGTCTCTCTCGGAAGTTTCACCGTGAGTCATCCAGCATTAACCGGTCTCCCATCCTGATCGAGTTTGATCACCACGTAAGTAAAAGTTTGTGCGAAGTGACGGAGCTTCCTGGCCGGCCCCGGGGAAACTTTTAACGTGATTGTTCTAGACTGCAAGTGCTGGTTAAGTGCATGTTGAAACGCACACAGTGAACTTTCGGTTGCTTGTCCATGTTGAAACGTACACAGTACACAGTGAAAACGAGCGAAAAGTACACAGTGAAAACGAGTATAGGATTACATGGGGTGCATTGATCGATTGTGTGGTCTTCAAACGCGAGCACACAGACTAAAAACAAAAATAGGGGAGCCTAGCGCGTCGTCGACACGTCGCGTAGAATTTATGCAACGGACTGTATGCGCCGCCCTTTATCAAACCAAGGTCCCGTCGCCTGTATTTGGAAATGGAGGTTATATACTTTTAGTGGGCACGTAGTACTTTTCTTACAAAAAACTACACGTACTACAGTCTCTTAAATAGCAGAATCTGCTTGTTAACAATGGGTTTCTGTCATCCATTTCGTGAAGGTACGAATTTTCTCACTACATTCATATTCCTGGTCTCCTTTTGTTTTTGCGGCATGCTATTTCTCATACACCTATAATTTGTTGTATCGCCGGTCGACTTTGGGAGTGCATAGGAGAGCAGCCCCCGAGGCCGGGACGGGACGACGCAGCCGGCCATCGTGTCCCTAACATGGCCTTGTCATGATCGAGCGTGTTAGACTGTATTTACATGTGTATATTGTAACGTTGTATACCACCTCATTATATATATATATGATAGGCCATCCCTAGAGGGTTGTGCCGGTTCCCCCAAAGCCTATTGTCTTACATGGTATCACGCTAGGTTACGTCCGCTTCCGCCTTAAAACCCTAAACCGCCGCCGCCGCCGCCGCCGCCGCCACCGCCGCCGCCGCCGCGCCCGCCGCCGCCGTCGCCCGACTGCTATGACGTCCGCCGCTGCGTCCGGCTCCACCGCCACCGGTTTTCTGCCGGCCTCCCTCGCGGCACTTCTCTCGAGGCCGCTGGATGCCGCCTCCCTTCAGGCGCCGATTGGAACACGGAGCGTCGGCTCCCTCTTCGCGCTCCCGCCGGCTGCTACTTCGCCCGGGCAGGCGCTTGTGGCCCACACCACCGCCGCCCCGTCAACCGCGGCTGTCGCGCCCTCGGCCACTGCGCCGCTGGTGGCGGAGGACGTCGCGCTGGCAGGCTTCGCGGCGTCAACCGCGGCCATCGCGCCCTCTGTCACCGCGCCGGCTGCCCCTCCGACTGTCTCCACGGTGTTCTCACCTCAGCCAGTCTCCTCGATGGGATCGCAGCCGCCGCCGCCGTTTCACTTCGGCCATCTCATCACCATCAAGTTGTCGTCGGACAATTACATCTTCTGGCGCGCGCAGGTTCTTTCGCTTCTTGGGAGTCACTACCTGCTTGGCTATGTCGACGGCTCTCTCCCTTGCCCTCCTGCGCTGGTTGACAGCGTGCATGGTCCGGTCTATAATCCGGCTCACCGTGTCTGGACAGGGCAGGATCAGGCGAACCTCTCCTCCATCCAGGGGTCGCTCTCTCCGGCCGTTGCTGGGCTTGTTGTCTTCGCCAAGACGTCCCACGAGGCATGGACTATTCTTGAGCGCTCGTTTGCGGCACAGTCGCAGGCTCGTGTATCTGGGCTCCGTCGCCAACTTGGGGAGTGTCAGAAGCTTGACTCCACCGCCACTGAGTTCTACAACAAAGTCAAGAGTCTCGCCGACACGCTGGCCTCCATTGGACAGCCCCTCACCGACTCCGAGTTCAACTCGTTTATCGTCAATGGTCTTGATGAGGAGTATGACGCCCTAGTCGAGATCATCAATAAGAGGGGCAACTCCACGCCCATGCCAGCACACGAGGTCTTTTCACGCCTCCTGCTTACTGAGCAACGAGTCGAGACGCGCCGATCCAGGGGCAACGGCGCCCTCTCGGCAAACGCCGCCACCAAGGGTGGTCGCTCCTCTGCTTCATCCAGGGCTCCTTCGGGGCAGTCACCACCACCCGCCTCGGCCCCTCCTCCTACTGCGACGCTACCAGGGGCTGGCGGTCCACGTGTGTGCCAGCTTTGTGGTCGCGATGGGCACTGGGCCTCGAAGTGTCACAAGCGCTTCCAGCGGGATTTTCTTGGTCTTGGCAATGACGGGAAGGATACACGCAACTTTGCTCGTCAGGTCGCCATGGCTGATCGTCCGCCGCCGTAGAAGCCACAGGGACACACTCAGTCCTACTCCATTGATCCCCACTGGTACATGGACTCTGGGGCGACAGAGCACCTGACCAGTGAGATGGGGAAGCTTCACACTCGTGAACCCTACCATGGCTCCGACAAGATCCACACCGTCAATGGAGCAGGTATGCACATCTCTCATATTGGTCAAGCATCACTTCTCACTAGACATGCCAATAGGAGTCTTCAACTTCGCAATGTTCTTCGAGTTCCATCTGTGACACGTAATCTTCTTTCAGTTCCTAAACTCACTCGTGATAATAATGTGCTTTGTGAATTTCATCCTTTTGATCTTTTTATTAAGGATCGGGGCACGAGGGACATTCTTCTTAGTGGGCGGCTCTGCCAAGGTCTCTATCGTCTGGAGCATCCTGGCGTCGCTCGCGTCTTCAGTGGAGTTCGGGTATCTCCGTCACAGTGGCATGCTCGTCTTGGTCACCCGGCCACACCTATTGTCCAGCATGTTTTGCGTCGTCATGAGCTTCCTAGTGTGTCTAGTAATAAAGATGTAGCAGTGTGTGATGCTTGTCAGCAGGGGAAGAGTCATCAACTTCCTTTTTCGGAGTCCAGTCGTGAGGTGAAACATCCTTTAGAACTTGTGTTTTCAGATGTATGGGGTCCTGCTCAGACTTCTGTTAGTGGTCATAATTATTATATCAGTTTTGTTGATGCTTACAGCCGCTTTACCTGGCTTTATCTTATCAAACGTAAATCTGATGTGTTTGACATTTTTGTTCAGTTCCAAAAACATGTTGAACGCCTTCTCAAACACGAAATTGTTCATGTTCAGTCGGACTGGGGTGGCGAGTATCGCAACCTCAACTCCTTCTTTCAGTCGCTTGGGATCACTCACCGTTTAGCATGTCCACATACATATCAGCAGAATGGCTCAGTAGAACGTAAGCATCGTCACATTGTTGAAGCTGGTCTGACTCTTTTGGCCCATGCATCTGTTCCGTTTCGTTTTTGGAGTGATGCTTTCACCACTGCATGTTTTCTCATCAATCATACTCCCACTCGTGTTTTGAATATGAAGACTCCCATTGAAGTTCTCCTTAATGAACAACCGGACTACACCTTTCTCAAGGTGTTTGGGTGTGCTTGCTGGCCCCATCTCCGTCCATATAACAAGCGTAAGCTCGAGTTTCGTTCCAAGAAGTGTGTTTTTCTTGGTTATAGCTCTCTTCATAAAGGATACAAATGTCTTCATGTTCCCACTAATCGTGTCTACATCTCTCGGGATGTTGTGTTTGATGAGCATGTTTTTCCCTTTGCCAACCTCCCTGTGTCCACTACCGAGCCACCTGTCATGCATTCATCCTCTGTTGCTTCTGACCAATTTGATGATGTTGCATATTCTCCTCTATTGTTGCCTAACCATGGTGCAGGCACTGGTCGTGGGGCTCGTTTGGAGATTCTGGAAGTGCCATCTTCCTCTTCGTCGCCATCGCCTTCATCCTCGGCACCTTCTGTTGTGCATGAGGAGCACATGGCGCCCCTGCATGGCCTCGGTTTCCGTGCTCATGCACGGCCGATCGACGTCCTGGCCCGGTCGCCTCTGGCTTCTGGCCTGCCTTCGCCATCGTCGCGCCCTGCAATCCCGCCGACTGGGCCGGCCTCCTCGGTCCCCGTCTCGCCCAGGGCGTCGGGGCAGTCATCACCAGGCCTGGCCTCGCCCGCCCCTGCCTCGCCCAGGGTGTCTGGGCCCTTCTCACCAGGGCCGGCCTCGCCTGCTCTTGCCTCGCCAAGGCCGTCTGGGCCGGTGTCACCGGAGCTGGCCTCGCCCACCCTCGGTTCGCCCATGGCCTCTGAGCCCCTGTCGTCGGGCCAGTCTTCGCCATGCAGCCCGGAGTCGTCTGTCCCGAGCTCGCCTGAGGTGATTCCTGCATCTCCGGCGACCGTCACGTCTCCGTCACCTTCGCCTCCGCCGGCTCCTGCTGCTGCTCTACGTCCACATACACGCAGTTGGAGTGGCATTTTTCAGCCTAAGCAACGTCACGATGGCACAGTTGCTTGGTTAGCGGCGTGCATGTCTGCTGCTCTCGCAGATCCATCCTCTGAGCCACGCACGTATCAATCTGCTATGCGCATTCCTCATTGGAGAGAGGCCATGGAGCAGGAGTATCAAGCGCTTCTTCGCAATCAGACATGGACTCTTGTTCCTCCACAATCACGGGTAAATGTCATTGATTCCAAATGGGTTTTCAAAGTGAAGAGGCATTCTGATGGGTCCATTGAGCGCTATAAGGCTCGTCTGGTTGCTCGTGGTTTTCGACAGCGTTTTGGACTTGACTATGAAGACACCTTCAGTCC